AATAATAATAATAATAATAATAATAATAATAATAATAATAATAATAATAATAATAACACTAACTTACTTTCCACGGTTCCTTTCGCTATCATTGGTACTCTGGGTGCCTTTCACTGACCTCAATAGCGAAAAAATTGGCTTGAAAAAGGTGGTTAAAAATGTGCCATGTAGAATTCAGGTTAAACATATGGCGTAATATATACGTTCCTCGTTAAAGAAATACGCGACGTAATAAAGTGAAATCTGATCAGGAAATGGCGGGATCAAAGTTTAAGGCTTCAATTAGGTGTCTTTGTCGATTAAATAACTATAGTGAAGGTTACCTTGCAATGTGCAGTGCGTGTATACTGCGTAGTAGTTTTAAAGAGTTGTAAACGGTTAGTTTCACACAGGCAACACTCGCTTAGTACGAACCAGCATTCATCACTAGTTATTTGGTGTTTCCAAAGCTTTAGCCATTTGTCTGTTGGCTTGCCCGGCGAATAAGATTGCATTCATCGTGTCACTGTGTACTCACAATTTGGCTAGCCCGATGGCAAGTAGGTGTGCTAGGATAAATAATATTTTTGAGGCGAGACATCTTATCGACCTTTTGTCCGCATATATTGTGAATTTAGTTTGGTGCAGGTGTTTGGTGCAGGTAGGTTGGCAGGTAGTTTGGTGCAGGTGCAGGTTTAGTGTGGTCCAGTCTACCATATTCATTACTATACACGCATATACTATAATTGTCGGCGTTGTCTACCTTATACTACACCTGATTTCCCGGTGAGAAGACCAGAAATAAGAATGTGAGTAAAGAGACAAATAAAATAACAAAGGGAAAACAATTGTAGGTACTACGCTAGAATATTGTGCCGTCGTTAGAAAAACCGTTAGAGTAGAGAGACTACCAAAGAACTCCTTAAGTAACCGAATGCAGAACGTTGCTCTGACGAAAAAAAATTATTATGTGTCCATAATTACCATCCTAAGCGTCCCTTGGAACCCTAAGCTTAACCTCTCATTTTCACGTGGTGAATCAAGAACATTCTAAACAATGTTTGAAATTCAACTATATCATTTTTGTGTGCTGACGACTGCCTGGTTTATCTTTGATAGATAAAGAAGCAGGTTTTCGTCGATACCACGATGACTTTGAGCATGAGGGTCAATAACAAGTTATTTTGGATCACATCGAACATGCCTCCTCTGTCTGGAATCCATCAACCGCGGCAAATCAACACCGCATAGAGGCGGTCCAGCGACGAGCTGTATACGCGTCAGCAGTAACATCTACGATTGAAGACAGGGCCATAATATGACACATCTTTATACCATTTTTTTTCCCTTGGACGACTGATACTAGACGATAGATAGTCTGGTAGTAGAGCATTTTGACCAGGAAAAAAATGGTATAAAGATGTGTCATAGAATAACATATCAAAAATCCGCAAAAATCCACTTTGGGGGAAATTTTTTATGAGTCTTTCAATATTTTGCACTTTTTTGCATGTTTTGTAGTGGGAAATAAGCATTCACTTGACAAGCCTTACATGGGCAAGGCTTGTCAAGTGATATAGTGGGGGCAGATATGTGAAAAAATTGTGGGTTTTGTGGTAAAAGCAGAAAAATTGGCAAGAATGAGTTTAAGTGTATACTAAATGATTTTAGATATAGTGCCAAGCTAATTTATTTCCGTAACGGCCGTAACAATAAAAAATCCAAAATGGCCGCCGCGTGATTCTCAATATCTGCTAATTGTTCCATCTTCGTTAATATTTGACACAAAAACATGAATAAAGTGTCTTTTTATATGTTTTTTGACTTGCAGAATCTAATGGTGTGATTATTTCAGTGAAAAAATGCATGTATCTGAAGTTAGGGCACAGGTTAATGCTAAAAGCTCAAGATGGCCACCATCTGAATAGTAAATATCTATCCTATCTGTGTAAATATTTGGCATAAAACATGAATAAAGTGTCTTTTTATGTGTTTTTTGACTTGCAGAATCTAATGGTGTGATTATTTCAGTGAAAAAATGCATGTATCTGACGATAGGGCACAGGTTAATGCTAAAAATTTAAGATGGCCACCAAATAAAACATATAAACAGAACATATAATGTTTAACGAACAATGAATAATTTTATAAACCTAAAAAGATATAAAAAGACACTTTATTCCTGTTTTTATGCCAAATATTTACAAAGATAGGACAGATATTTACTATTCAGATGGCGGTCATCTTGAATCTTTAGCATTAACCTGTGACCTAGCTTCAGATACATGCATTTTTTCACTGAGATAATCACACCATTAGATTCTGCAAGTAAAACAATGACACTATATTAATGTTTTTGTGTCAAATATTTACGAAGATGGAACAATTAGTAGATATTGAGAATCGCGCGGCTGCCATTTTGAATTTTCCATTGTTACGGCCGTTACGGAAAAGAATTAGCTTGGCACTATATCTAAAATCATTTAGTATGCCCTTAACTTCATTCGTGCCAATTTTGGTGCTTTTACTACAAAACCCACAAATTTTCACATATCTGACCCCACTACTTGACAAGCCTTGCTCATGCTCATTTCCCATTACAAAACATGCAAAAAAGTGCAAAGTATTCAAAGACTTTTGGACTCAAGGAATTTTTGCGGATTTTGGATATGTTGTTCTATGACAACATCCTGCTCATCATGTGTAAAAATCTGCTCGTCTTTATACCATTTTTTTCGGGTAGCATCGATATTTCACCTTCAACTACCGGACTAAGAAGATAAGTTGCCAATGGAATGCTGCTACATAGGTTTTTTCACGATGTTGTCGATGACATCGTAGATATCTTACATTTGCCCCTTCCCTCCCGCGCATCGGCAACCTGGGTTGCGTAACACCAGTTCTTCCAACCGTACACATGTGAAGGCCTACTAGCGGAGTTCACTATTACCATACACTTG